CCATCCAATTCCCAGTAAGCATTTTCAATATGTAAGTGTTCTAAGTCTTGGGGGGCCAGGCATAGACGCTAGAACACTCAAGAGAACTTGGACTGTGAAAAAAATAAGTTGAGAGGGATCACTTTAGATCTCATCCTAAAACGTGTTCTGTAGCTCTTATACTCTCTGAGGCAGGAGAGCAGCTGTATGGTTGGATGAGGAACAGACACTCACATGGGTGGGATGGAACAGCGGGTCCCTAACAGATCTTATCCAAATAGATGGAAGTTAACTTTGTCAAAAATTGAAAAGCAATATATATCATTATAGACAGGCATTTTAAAAATAAATTAGCAATTTGATGTCTTTAAATATAAAACTACATTGGATTAAACTTCATACCTTTTACTACTGTGCACAAAGTGAAGATCACAAAGTTAAGTGTAAAATATAAAATTACAACAATTTTGGGAAAAAGAGGAATAAAAAGGATAGGCAAGAGTTCTTTGAGTTGATGACATAAGTTTGTTATAAATGGAAAAATGAATACTTTATACCTTAGCCAAAAATTTAAAAATAAATAAAAAAATCGCTCTGTGAAAATCATGTGGAGGTCATGATGTGGAGACTGAGAAATATTAGTAAACCACAGGTATGATCAAGAGCTATTATCTAGAATATATTCATAACTCCCAGAACTTAACCGCAAAAACCCAAATCATCCAATTACAAAGTCTTAGAAGTCTTCAGAGAAATAATAAAGTAACAGGTAATGTTCTCTTTCGGGGAAGCCCAGAAACTCTTGGGGTAGTTGTGCCACCCTCAAACTTGGAATTCAAATCTCTGGGATATTTTCTTTCCTTCGCCTGTTTGCTCACTGATGTCAAAAGACAATGTGCAGTGTCATAGCCTTTAATTCTCCCCATGTTTCAAAATCATCATAGAGAGGTTCACCTAGCCCCTTGCTTCTGACACAGTGCTGAACAGAATGTCTAAGGCAGGTATCCACCTCTCTCTGAAAATGGTTCAGAACATGTGCTACCAGTCCATAGCGATTTTATTTGGATAGACAAAACGTGGAAACAACACCCACCTTCTCATGTGTGAATGCTTAGACAAACGGGCGCATCCCTTCCATGGAATGCACAGAGCAGTGACAGACCAGACTACCAAAGATCACAGTGGCTCGAGGGCCCTGCAGGGAGGTACTGTGTGATTACACTCATGTGGCATTCCTGACGGCACAAAGTCAAACCATTGAATAAGAGTCAGTGGTGCACAGGCTGTGAGGTGGACAGGAAAAAGGCGGCTGTGACAGTGAGGTAGCATGAGACATCACTGAGGGGGCTCTTCTGGTCACTAACTGAATTGATTCCACTTGAATCTATCTATACACATACAACCAAATGCTTGGAAAAACTGGTGAGAACTGGAGGAGGGGAATAGATTTCACCAGCAGCAGTTTCCTGGTTATGATCTCACACTATGTTTAGGCAAAGTCACTATTCATGGGGAACAGGTGAAGGGTACATTGGGTCTCTGTGTTATTTCTACAGGTGCATGTGAATCTCCAGCTATTTCGAACACTTCCAATATAAAACCAAGAGATCTGACTGACATCCAGGGCTCTGTTCTCTGAATGAGTAAAGCTGGTGAAATAATTAATTACAGCATTTCATCAGTCATCAGGGTAATTTCTGGAATCCACAGACAAGGTTGACAGCTGGGGAACCTGGGGAGGGGACATTTTTAGAAGGAGAGAGAAGGAGAGAGACAGTGAGAGAGAGAAAAAGGAAAATTGAGAAGAGAGTAAAAATCTATATGAACTAAATAAAAATCTATACCTTCATTATCATTAGAAATGTTACATTTTATCAACCAACTCTGGTTTATGCATACATAAAGTAAAATTAATAAGACTAGCAATAATAGTGAATTAGATCCTAAGGTAAAGATAGCATCTTGAGGAGTTTTTACAGACTGCATGGGATCACTCAGTTAAGGTCAAGATGATAGAAAACACAGTGCCAACCCCAAACCAGGTAGATTTATAACCTTTCCATATACAAACATTTGCTTCTTACCAGGTAAGTGGAAGTTGGGAGATAAAGACTGGTGAAGTTTAATTTACAATTTCTTTTTACAACTTGATCCATTAGAAACTTGAAATCTATAGAACTTTATAAAGAACTCTTTCCTAAAAATTTCAGAAAAAGTTCATAAGTAAAGTGAAATACTAGTAAATATTTTCTTGGTGGTAACAAAACAACACAAGCAAGGCAATAGGGCACCAACATCCTCTCCGTGAGAGAGTATGCAGAAAGCAAACAAACAGACCCACGAAAACGTGTTCCCAATAGATCACTGTAGAGAAAGCCAAAGGAAAACCACAAAGAGACATCACAGTATATCTGGTTACAGCGATTAACATTTAGGACATCTTGGAAAAAATTAAAATGCTGGCACCGGTGCCGAGAACCCAGATCGCTCTGTGTGGGTGGAAACTCTCACAACCACTCTGAAGAAACCCAGGGCTGTTTCCGACCAAGCTGAACACACAGCCCAGAAATTGGCCCCGGGCACTGGGCAAAGGGACTCACAAGCCTTTCCACAGGAAAACTTCATGGTGCTCACAGCGCTTACATGCTTAGCAGCCAGAACCTGAGAGCGGCAAGCGCACCCTACAAGAGAGGGAAGACTGCACAACAGCGCATCCTTACCAGTGGGGTGTGCATGTCAAAGAAGAGAAAGGACCAATGTGTAAAGGGAGAATGAAGCTCAAGGGATTTACACTGCGGGCGACTAAGTCTCCTGAAGGGTGCACGAGGTGTGATTCTGCTTTTGTAGCATTCGTTCGTGACAAACTCACAGTTAGAGAAGCAGGTCAGGACAGCAGGACAGAGGAGAGGGACTGAGAGGTAGCCAGAGAGGGAGCCCGAGTGTCCGTGGCAGTGGAGACGCCCTGCGTGCAAGCTGTGGCAGTGGGTAGGTAGCTGCACAGCTAAGCACCCTGCACAGAATTCCACATGTGCTTATGTGTGCACACACATGTGGAAACACGCATGTACAGTGTGCTGGAAAGTTCTACACAACTCGGAAAGGGAGGTGGAATGACTATAACCAATTTCCCATCTACAGAATTATATTACATTGTACAAGAAGTTACAGTGAGAAAATGGACTCGGAGATCTCTCTATCATTTCTTATAACTTTGGTTCAATCTCCAATTATCTCAGAACAAAAATCAAGAAGTTAAACTGGATATGATGGTGCACAATTGTGATCCCGGCACTTGGGAGGCTGAGGCAGAAGGATTTCCAGGAGTTCCAGGCCAGCCTGGGCTCCATAGAAAGACTCTGTCTCAAAAATCGAACAAAACAAGTTAAATATTATCCATTTAGAAAATTCCCAGTAATGCCCTCTTTGACCCTTCTATGAATTACAGTGTCTGGGAACATGAAATTGCTCTTACAGAACAGAGCAGCTGGTACAGCTAAGTCCTCCAGCTCTCTGCTGTTGAAGATATCAGCATAGGAAAATACTTTATGAACAAATCCTCAGTAGCATGGGAGCTAACACAAAGAGTCAACAATTGGGATCTCACCTTTTTAAAAAAAGCTTCTGCACTGCCAGAGAAATCACAAGCAGAGCTAAGAGACAACTCACAATGTGGGGGAAAAAAATTTTACCAGCTGTTCCTCAGACAAAGATCTACTATCTAGAATATATGAAGAGCTCAACAAAATTGGATTCCCCCAAATATAAAGACCCAATTCAAAAATGGGCATCTGAAATGAACAGATATTTCTCAAAGAAGTAAAAGCAGCAAATAAATGTCTGAAAAAATGTTCAACATCACTTGAGAGATGCACATGAGAACAACACTGAGATTCCACGTCACCCCAGAAAGAATGGCTGCTATCAAGAAATCAACAAATAACAAATGCTGGCGGGATTATAGGGAGAAAGGAACCCCTCTCCATAATGTTGGTGGGAGTGCAGACTGGCGCAATCAATGGGTTCATCAGTATGGAGAGACCTCAAAGAACTAGGATTGGAGGTCGCATTTGACCCAGCTATTCCCCTGCTGGGTATCTTTGCAAAGGAATTAAAACAATCATATCACAGTGATATATGCTCACCCATGTTTATAGCAGCACAGATTGTAATAGCTAAAACTTGGAAACAGCCCAAGTGCCCATCACCTGGAGACTGGATAAAGAAGATGTGTGGTTTTTTAAAAATATACAATAGAGTACTACTCAGGCATAAAGAATGAGAAACTAGAGACATTTATTGCTAAGTGGATACACATTGAAGTCATACTCTTAAGTAAAATTAATAGGACACACGTGTAAATACTGAAGAGTTTCTCTGGTTTGAAAACCTAAAAGTGTAAATAAGGATCAAAATGTATAATTCATACTGTATAAAAGGAAGAAAAGGTATAAAAGTGTAGAGGAAGTGGGAGGGGTAGGGGAAAGGTAAAGAAGGAAAATAAAAAATATGTGAAAGGAGAAACATGGAAATAATGCCTTTGTAAACAGGTAGGGTGGAGGGGGTGAAGGGAGGGCTGGGGAACGGGGAAAAAATAAGAATCTGCTAAGTCATGTAAAGGGACAAATTCCCAGTGATGAATGAAACTGTATTGTATACCTAACTTGTACCAATAAATTTAATAAAGATAAAAAATAATAGAAATTTTAAAAAATATATCATTTCTATAATTCACTCATATGATCAATGACTCCTTTACAACTCACAATCGTACAACAAAAAGAAGGTATTCTGAATTCATTAAATAATTGTTCCATGAAAAGAGAAACAGCATAAAAGTATTCTGATTTTACCTTTATAATATGATCACACATAGGATTTCAATTCTCAATTCTCCAGCTGCTGACTGAGAAACCTGCAGCTACACTGAAGAGGTGCTAAGCAGAGGCAGCCACATAAGGCGTCCTGTGCGCTTATGGCATTCAGTTTTCACAGGAAGGGTTTAAAGGATATTGATGTTGCTGTCTTATTTTGTTCAGTATTTGAACTGTCTCCCCCAAACAGTGTGTGGCTCTTGTTCTTACATTTTGAATACAGCCCATCTTCAACATATAGATATATGATGATTGACAAACAGTGACAGAGAGGCAGGCAGAGAATGACAAGGCTCCTTCAGTGTTATAACGGCTGAGCTGATGTACAGATTGATGTAAGTGCATGACATGACGCTACAGGAAACAAGCTTCCCACGGTCTCGGTTTCTTTCTCAAGGAATGGAACAGTAGCCCGTGGTCTCATATGTTTTATGATGAGTAAAGGAGATCGATGACCACTGTAAAAAAAAAAAAAAAAAAACAACATTGTCTGAGGAAACAGCTAAATAAAACTATGAATGCATTATCATCAAAGTGAACCCCAGCTGGGTGCTGCAATGCAAACCTGTAATCTCAGCACCAAGGGAGAATAAGTCCCACGGGCCACACGTTCAAATCCCATGTGGGAAATTTCGGGAGATTCTGTTTCAAAACTAAACAGTGCAGATGCAGGTGCAGTTCAGTAGTACAGTTCAGTAGTAATGGGTTGAATCCCCATTACTGCAAAAGCAAGAGATAATTTGTCATCACAAGCACCATTCTTTTATTAGATTTGAATTATCTGTGGCACCTGCAGGACTTTCTATGGATCCCATGTGCACAGGACTCCTTGGGGTTTAGGGTTTTGTGCCCAGGTTTGCTGCACATCCAGTCTTCCACAGAATAGAAAGGACTTTACTGGTCTAATTTTACAGTTTTCTTGGACCCCTAGAAGGGTAATGGAGAATTTTAAGATATTGATTAAGAATGTGTAAATAAACCTAAATTTCAGTAATTGAGAAATCACAAAATAAAAACATTTATTAAAGAAAAATTTAGTGTGTTCTTGGATGGGAAGCCGGTATGATAAAAAGTGTAAAATGCTAAATAATATATATGTTTGGAACAAAACCAGAGCCTTTATTTCAGTGCCTGCTTAGCTGTTTTTTCGATGCCAAGCTTTAATAACTAGGCCATAGTGACTGTTCACCCACTGAACAATCTATTGCTTTTTTTTTTTTAGAATAAAGGTTAATGAAGACAAGTTATTCTCAAACTTTAATGTATTCACCATCCCTTGGTTTTCAAAATTTCTCAGACCTTTCTACAGCCCAGAGCAAGTAAATTTCATGTTCTTGGGGTCAAATGTAGGCACTAGGATTTTTCAAACGTGACTCCAAACTATGGCAGTGTTTACTTGGAAATGGAGCACAGTGTTTCCAAAAAGGACGTTAATTCCAGAGGAACAAGAAATCAGATTCGAGGAAGGAGAAATCAGCTTCTCATTCCAATTGATGAGAAAAGACAAGTGGGTGCCAATTTCTGCTCGCTGACAAACAAAGGAATGATATCACACTGCAAATTCAGAAGAGAAGCTTGGCCAGGAGTGACCTGTAATTGAAAAATCCAATAAAGCATTAAATGCAATTAATTCCGAAGCTGAGGAGACCGAGCCTCTGGGTTAGAAAGTGCAGTGAGTGCTGTAGGCTGGCTGAGTCCCTTGCCTGGAGCTGGCGGGGAGCAGGCTGTGCCGGAGCCTTGTAGAGAAACTCGGGCTGCTTCTCTTCAGTTACTGAGACCTGTCAGTCCTCTGGCTGCCTACCCCTGCTGCACCTGCGTGCTTCTTCCTCCGGAGACTTGTGGGAAGGGTGAGAACACTCTGCTGAAGGCCAGGACCACTGCATGTTTTGAGTTGCTAGTAACAACACATACACTAGCAAAGGCGATCCCCCAGGATCTATTATCATACCAATTTTAAGTACACTTCTATGTCTTTATCTACTTTGTTACTGAACTTTTTCTTCAAGTTTTTGTTTAAATAATCTGGTTTGGGACTGGGGGTGCAGCTCAGAGGCAGAGCACTTGCCTACCACAGAAGTAGCCCTGGGTTCCCTCTCCGGCAGAGTAAAACATCTTGTCTACAGAGCCCATATATACAGCAATATTTACATTTATATTTATATGTATTGTCTAAGAGAAAAATAAATAGTTCCATGCCCCAGTTTCCTCCTTTATTAAATAGGAGTAATGATATTGATTGTGAGTACAGCCCAGTCTTCCCAGCTCTTACAAGTGTGGGTGTGGAAATGACCTCACATTTTGCAACAGCTGCCCACATTTCTTTTAATTGATTGATTGGTTTGGTTTTGAGTGTCAAACCGGCAGCCTAGCATAGGGTGTGATGATGAATCCTTAGCGATAATGAAAATTGATCAGAACATGGTTCCACCCTGGCTGGGCCAAGTGCGCCCTGCACAGCTCACTAGCTTCACAGAGAGACAGCACTGGCTCATGTCGTGGTCTGGAACAGTGACCTCAGCCAGCCTTCTGACACATGTCGGCCACCAGGTGAAGGACAAACCCAGGGGAGCAGGGTCAGCACAAAACAAACCACTGCACCGAACTGCACAGAAGGAATTCAATGTGACTGATTTCCTGGGGCCAAAGGGGCTTTTCTTTCATTTCTAAGGCCCCTGTATCTTACACATACTTGGGGAAATAGTGGAAATGTGTTAATGGGCCTCTGTAGATAGCAGGTTTTCCTGATTTTAATGAAGGTTGAAAGTTACACTTTGGGATAAAATTATTTGCCTCTAGGGATAAACATTTAGACATATTTATCCTGACTTTGAAATTACAGAGCATATAGGCCATTGGAACAGAGAGAAACCTAAAACTATGAGGGGTTCTAACTGTAGGTAGAAAGAGTATAAAATACTTCTAAGAAAGTCACTTAATGAGTGCTGCACCTGGCACATGCTTTCTAGCTTACTTCTTCCTCGCCATGTACAATACCCACCATCTGCTTCCATTTTTTCTTTGAGACAAATGTCTGAAATCTGAAGGGGTGGCCAGGGTTCCTGAGGGAGCTTGTGTGTGCTGTGAGGTCTAACAGGGCAGGTGTCCCATGGTCAGGATATTTCAGTGAAGTGAGAAGAAGAGACCCAACCTTGAGCCTGCACTCTGCTGGCCTTGAAGGCTCATTTCTGCTCTGTGCTAGCGACCTGTGTCTCCTGAGCTGGTCGTGAGGGTGGCTCACTCCAGAGCTTTGCATCCTCTAGCAGTTCCTTCTGGAAGCTGGGCATTCCTGACTTAGGTATTGCTCACACCCCTGGTTGCACTTTCTCATAGCTGGGCCAAGTACATCGGGACAGATAGCAGTACAAGCACATAACAGACGTAGTCCTCTCCTGCTTGGATGTTGTAAATCCTGACCTGTAACTACACCATACATCTGTTCTCCTACTTGTTTAATTCCTCTCATTGAAATGGGAACTCTACAAAGGTGTGGCTTTGTCCTCTCGGACCCTCTCTCCAGCTCCTGGAACACTATTACAATACAGAAGCCACTCAACAAACTTTTGTGCTGAATGCATAAATCAGGTGGAAATGTGACAAGCTTCCAGGTTTGATGTTTTCTCTTACCTTTCTGGTGAACATATGAAATAGTTTCCTGATGCTAAGTCCAGGAGTGTTCGCATTTTTCAGATCACCAACAGTGATAGTCTTAATGAATATATCTGGGATGAAAATAAAACCATTCTTATTTTCTATAAGACTTTAGTAATCTATTGCAATCTGTTTCTAAAACAAATTCAAAACACTATAATATTTTTGTAACATACATTTGCAGAACAAATTACAACATAAGAGATAATGATCAGGACAAATAACATACATTTATTGCCATATGGTTATATATTGAATTTTATCATATGCTCATTGTACATGATTTTTATTTTGGCATAATTATACATTTATAAAACCTTCACAAAGGTAGTACCTTTTCTGTGTATCCCTCACCTCGACCTCTCATCTTCAGTACTATTTTCTGTTGGTACCATGATGTATTTGTCAAACCTAAGAATTTAATGTTGGGGCATTAGTGTGAAACTCTACACATTGTGTTTATTTCACCCATTTTCCATTTGTGTTTTATTTCTGTATGAAGAGACACCCAGAGCATCACAGGGATTTTATCAAGTTTGAGTCTCTTTGCAGCTACGACAGGTCCACAGTTTCTCCTTTGTTTTCAGGACCGTGATATTCTTGAATCTTCTTCGTGAGACATCCAGGAGAACAGACCTCCAGCTGGGCTCCTCTATGCTTCCCTCCAGAGCGCCCTGGCCTTGGGACTTCTCGAAGGGGGTATAGTAGAGGGGTAGATCCTTGCGCTCACCTGACGTCACAGAAGACGGTGAGCCTTGTCACGTGGTTACAGTAGGTTTTGCAGGTTTCACAACAGCTAAGATTCTCCTTTCCATTCCCAGAATATCCTGAAGTGAGGTCTGCTCTGCCGTGGGTCAGGAATGTCTCCAAAGGCCCCTACGTTAAGGGACTGAGAGGCAACAGCCTGCAGCTCTAGTACCAAGTGGCGTAAGCTTTGGCCAGTGGAAATCTTGTGGAGGAGGGTAGTCCTTGGGGGCACACCCTGAGGGTGGTATCAGACCAGATCATGGCTTCTTCCTCCTCTGTGCTCTTTGCTTCCTGCCTGCCACAATGGGGAGCTTTCTCAGTCGTGTTTCCCCCACCGGGGGATAACCTGCCTTGCCACGGGCCAAAGCAACACCTCCAACCAATCACAGACTAAAACTTCTAAAACTGTGAACCCCAGGTCCTCGTCCTAGCTAAGGGATTGGACTTTATCAGCGACACAAGGGAGACCAAGTGAACAGCTCTTTAAGAGGAGGTCTTAAAGGATGGAACAATTTCCAGAATCTCTGAAGCAGAATCTGAAAGGAGAGAGCAATGGGCTTGGATGGAATGGCCAAAGGGATATTTTTCTGCAGGTGTCTTGAAGAGAGGCTTGCTACTAAAGAAGGGAGGGTAGGCCAATTTGGCCAATGACTAGAGAGCTCTCCTCGGTTCTATGGTATCACATGAGGGACACCTAAAACAGTGGTGCTGACACAGGTATGCCAGTGACCGTGGACTTCCAGAGCCAAAGGCTTTCTATATGGCATGGACAGCTTTATTATCAGCCTGAAAACACTTCCCCATATGAATTTGAGAAATGAGATTGCTTTTTGTTAACTTTATAAAACATGCTGAGGTTCTAAGACATGAGGAAAGTGAATCAGGTCATCTTTGCAATTTGTTACAATGATTCCATAGTACCTATTATATAATGCTCACAAAGTATAGTGATGTGATACAGAAAAATACATCAAAGTAAATAAAGATACAAAAGCATGCAAGGATTTGACTATCAGTATGTAGTACATTAAAATACACAGTGAAAAATTTCCACATTCTTACATAATTACAATTGCTATCATGTTATATTACTGTTACTATGGTATTTACAATTACTATACATCTGTCATTGATGTAATTCTTTGCTAATGAAAATGGAATGGATCTGAAAACTGGACATTTAAGACACCAAAATAAAAATTTTAAAACTGATGTTATTAAAAAGGCACATTGAAAAGTTACATATTTAAAAATTATATCAATCATTAACTTCAAAGTACTAATCATACTTAATTACCATGTAAGTTAAGTGAAATTTATAAAGAAAACTAAACCATATCTTTGTAAACATCAGTAAGATAAATATAAACATGATTTAAAAGTGCAAAGCATAAAGAAACAGACACAAAGAATAAAACTTATTACTAGAAAAATGGAAACATGACACTAATTGAAGATTAATTGGATGGAGTGCTGTTTATGTAGCAAGATGTTGAAAACTTTCCAGGGATTGCAAAGATGTAATATTAGGTTAACTGGTAAATTATTTGAAATTTCCAATGAAAGCCAAAAACCCTAAACACACAAAAATCAAAACATTCTATGTCAAATCAAACACAGCAATGATTCCAAGATTTCAGTAAGGACACTATTTCTGAGGAGACCATCAGAGAGGAATACATAACCCTCAGCAAAGCACCATGTTTTATGAGCTACTCAGGAGGAGATGATGGTGGCCACTCTGACAGGGATGATGTAGATAGCATGCCACTCGCAGGGTGTCCCGGGAGGCGGGCAGGGCTGGCAGAGGACAGCAGGCACTTGAACGCTGAGTGCCTCAGCAGAACAGGAGAAGCTGGGGGAGCGGCCATTCCCTAGCGCTGCACGATGCCTTCAGAAGGTGGTTGGGGCTTTCCACAGCATTCTGTGGAATATGGCTCAAAATTTTACAATTTATTCCAGACTTTACTATATGGTGAAGCAGAGTGTTTAAATTCAAGCAAGCTGAGATTTTCAAACTTCTCTAGCTTGGCACCTATTTTTAAATACCATATTGCATATGCTTCTGTGAAGTCAGCCTTTCCTTTGTTTTTAGCCGACTCCTGACAAGTCCTTCAGGACACATCCTGCTGCCAGCTCTGCCCTACCTGGACCCCTTTGTGTTTTGTCCTCTGAAGAACCTGTCACTAAAAACCAGTGAGAATCCAAAACCAAACGTGTTACAAACAGGATCTGAATGTGCACCTTATTGGAAAATGTAGGCCATGTAGGCCGCAGGAAATTCTTTCTGGGATTCTGTGAGAATGAAAAATCTATGAAAGTCTAATTGTAACTTGAAGGAATACAGGAAGATCTGACAGTTCTTCCCAAGTAGAGTTATAGATTTAACACATTTCCAATTAAAAGCCTAATGAGATACTTTATGGAACCTGACAAAATGATTCTAAAATTCATTAAAATATAAATGAGTAAAACTGTTTAATATATTCTGATATAAAAAAGTATATTAATGAAGGAATAAAGATCTTAGCATATAGTAGAACTGATGATAGATCAAGAGTAATTAAACTTTCATGGATGGGACATAAAACTCATAGGAAAAATCATTGAAATAACATAAAATATAAACTAAGGATAATTTTTCCAAAAAATATGTTGAATAAATCTTAAATTTAACAAGTAGTTTAAAAGAAAACATTTCCAATGATTGTACTTGTTATAACTAGACAGCAACTCAATTCAAACATACAATACACAATGCTGAACTCGTATGTTTGGTTTCCTTTTCTGAAGCTAGGGTCTCACATTTTTATTGCTTTAAAAGGATTACCTCTGGTTCTGGGAATATTGTCAGAAAATATGAAACATGAGTGAGACATAGCTCTCATCTACCTCTCATCTATCTATCGCTATCACACATCTACCTAAAAAGTCATTGCGATAAACATGGCCCAGTATTCAGTACCTGTCTTCCTGTCTTAACCTAGGGAAGTGTAGCAAGTTTTTTGGGAGAGTTCTGGTCATTTGTCTTCATGGATGTTGTTTATATTCAGGATACAAAGTGGACATAGGAGAATAGAAGTAGATTTCATCACACCTTCAGGGCTAATTTTACCTCTTATAACTGTGTTTTCACTGAGCTTTACACATAATATTCTATCCTTAATGTTCACTTTTTCCTTCAGGCGTCACCCAAGCAGAACAATACAGACAAGTGTGCAGTTGCCAGTGCCGAACTCCAGGCCCTGAAAGCTTTCTCTGCACAGCCGAGGTGAGGAGATGGAGTGAGAGCTCTGACGGGGTCCAGGATGTTGAGCAAAGTCTGGTGAGGGCTGCAGAAGGAGCACGGAGACGAAAGGCCTCCTGCTCTGCGTTTGCCTGAGCAGGAGCTTTGCAGCATCACCTCTCTGCTCCTTCTCACCGGGGGCGCTGGGCAGGGACCAGCACCCCTGGCCATCCAGGGAGACTCCCCGCTGGATGGACCTCAGCTGAGCCCCTCTGCAAGGCACACTATGACTGCAGTGGGCAGCAGCATGTGTGGGCCTCGAGCATCCAGAGTCATTTTCCCTCCCTCACCACTGTGTTGCTTCACCACAATTCATATCAAGCCTCAGGTAAGCAGGGTCATTTGGGGAACTGTATGGACAGTGTGGGGCTCGCTAAGCAGAGGTAAGAAGAAAACCCTTTATAGTAAAGAATGAAAATAGTCAAGGAGGGCAGACAGTCAGGACCATTTTATTTCATTATGTGAGAAAGGTCAGCCACAGAGAAGAATTTTGGGGAATTGAGCAGGTCCCTGAGAATGCGGGCGTCCTAGCAAGACCAGGGAGGAAACAAATGGGGCCCCATACAGGACGTCCCTGCAGGGAGTCTCAGCTGTACCCCAGGAGACCAAGGCAGGGCTCCCTACTCTGTGACCGTGATGATTTCAGTCCCAGTCTCAGAAATTCCATTCTTAAAAGCAAATAGATAGTTGATAGGTAGGTAGATAGATAGATAGATAGATAGATAGATAGATAGATAGATAGATATAGATAGATAGATAGATAGATTGGTGAAGGGCTGTAAAAGATTTCCATATCTTCTTCCCTGCTGTTTATTTTTGGAATTATACATCAAGCAACTTTAAAATATTGCAGTTGTACAATGGAACAATATGTTCAATTTGTGCAAAATTGGAATATTGTGGGACAATCAAAACCAAAATGAATTCATATGTTAAAAGCTCCAGAATGCTTTTTATACAATACGCATTCAGTTAGTAAAGTAAGGTCCAAAGGAAATGTTAACACCTTAGCTTTATTACATGTTAATTATATTAATATAGAGGTCTTTTAAAGTATGTAAAATACTCAGTATATTTTTGAAAAATATAAATAATATATAAACAATATATTAATCTGCAAATAATGTGCTTATTTTCTATTATTCCTATTTTTTACTGAAATGAATGTACAAGTATTAATCAAAAGACTACAAAATTATTAAATTATTAAATTAAATATTATTAAATATTATTGAATTATTAAGTTCATTAAATGAGTTAGAAAAAGAATTACTTCTCTTTGAATTTACAAATACAGTTCTCTGAACAAATCAGGACATTTTAAAACATTAACAACGTATTCATTTACTTATAGTCTGACTGACAATAGATATTGTGTCTCTATTTGTAATTTAACTTAATAAATATCTACTTAAAAAAAGGGACAAAATGCATAAGAGATAATGGGAAATGGGAAGAAAATGTTCAGATGAGAAGGGGAACAGGGGAGCGGGGAGGAAAACAGGAAAGAAGGGATAAGAAGGAAAGAGAATAGCAGGGAAAATGGAAATGAAGCTTTTGTGAATAAGGAGGGGAAGAAGGATCAAAGGGCTGGAAGGGAGAAAAGAATCAGGATACATCACATGCGGGTACAGATTCCCCATGATGACTTTTATCACTATGCATATCTACAATGTACCAATAAATGTTTTGCTTACAAAAAGAACTGATTCAAGAAGGTTTTATTTTGCTCCTTTGGAACTAGGAAGTAAGATGTGCATGTCAAGTGTCCCCTATATCCCACACCTTGGGCGCCCCTTCTTCAGCCGTGCGTTCTCCAGCAGATCTTTAAATCTTCGCATCATTGCTCCAGTCCCATGCCTGTGCCAACGGCATAGCTCTATCAATGGGAACGTACCTACATATGGAATTCTCTGGAATATGTCTGCATTTCATTGTCCTTTTGTCCATACTGGTGTTCTATAATGTTTTCATGAACACTGAGCAAGTGAATGACATGGGAGCCTTTGGTCACAACATTTTCACCAATGAATCAATACAAAGTATTCTTTATGTGCATTTCTGGGTTTTGGACACCTTATTTAGTATGGTTGCTTTTTGCCATTGAATTCAAGGGCCAGTAGCACTGTAACTCATGCCTTCCTGAATCTGATCTAAAACTTTTATTATCCCCCTAATCACATCACAGAGATTGCACCAATAAAAAACATAAAAATGACACAGTGTGAAACTAAATGCACCAAAAAAATGACTTGTGGAGGGAATGAGAACAGAAACAGGATGGAATCTTCTACCTCACCCGGGAACGTGTTATCAAGAGCTCTACGTTACCTGCCCATGAATAGCCACAAAAATGGCCCAGGCATAGACTTTGGGTTGACAGGCAAGCCTTGGAGAATAGGTAAATTCCAAATAGGGAATCTTTGACTCATGCAGCTCAGCTATGTTGAAAAAATGAAGACTCATCCCATTCTTCAGATCAGAGAGAAGGAGAGGGAGAGAGGAGAAGGGAAAACAAGCAAAAAAGAATTAGGATGTATTCTATACAATTACCAGCTTACTGCTACAAATGTCATCATCATGTACTATAAACATGTGCTAGTACAAAAATAAAACTTGTATCTAAATCTTAAAATGAACAAACAAATCTGTGGCGTGTGTTTTGAGTACAGAACCCATGGTTATCCAAACTGTTTGAGGGGCTTCTCCCACACGCTCACTGTGAGTGGCTCTTACCCTCCTCATCCACAGGAAAGGTGACCCTGTAGTCACCCTTGCACTGCCCCTTCCACCCCAGATAGCCACTCCCCTGTCCTGCAAGCTTCACCACACCTCTGATATCACAGACAGTGTGCTTTCTGGCCACCCAGACATCAAGTTCCACACCTACCTGGTCATACCTCGTTGCCATCTATGGCCACAGTGACCAATCTGCAGCCTACACTGATGATACAGAAAAACTTCAGAGCTCCAATTAGACATATCATTCATTTTACATTCTGCCAAAGCTTCTCATTGCTTTCCACAATAAAAATTACACTGGTAGCACGAACTTTTAAATCATGTACATTCTAGAAAGCAGTCCAGCACTGTGAGCATTTTTGGGTTAGGATGCATGGTGGGCCTCTATTCAGTATGCAAAACCTAAGGGAAAAGTGTTTTCAAATTCTGAAAAACAACAAATTATGGAAACTTTTCTCTGTGTGTTCTGTAGGTGATGTAATGACTTTACCTACATACTACAGAAAGGATTCAGACTGTCTTCCAAGGGTCATGACTGTGTCTTATTTCTTGGCTCCTTTCCTGAAATAGGCTGAGAAAATCTGAAAAGATATTCTACCTTCCCTTCAAGGGTCTGAGTGTTGTTACTCATCTTCTTATGCTCTCTTGATGCCCAGTCTGGGGAGTTACTGCACTTCAGAGCATTTAGCTCTGTCTCTTTTTAACAGAAGGACCACAACAGTATTCAAGAAGGCGGACCTCCCTCCTGGGAGGAGGTGGCAGTGAGAACATCAGGAACCACAGCGCAGTGAGTGCCCTTCTGCTTACCTACCCACCCTTCTGGGTCAGTGCTGCAGAGAAAAAGCGCATGCAAGGTTTTGCTTTTCCAGAGAGAGATTGCTTATGAGGGTATAGGCTCAGGTAGTCACCCTGTCCACTGGACTGTGATCCCAAAACTTCATGGTACTGAATGGAAGTGGAGGTCAGTTCTCCCAAAGGTCTGGAAGCAAAGGTCTCTACTTGTCTGAATTGTAACTATTAAGTATCACCAATTTATATTTGGGCCACTCTATCTGTAGTTTCCCAATTTAGGATTCAACTAATTGCACATTGAATTACACCTGAATAGTCTTTCTTCTTGTCATTATATCCTAAACAATCCTTTTATACAACATTTACATTCTCTTCAGTATTACAAGCAATGGAGAGGTAGCAGAGCTATACAGGAGGCTGTGCTGAGCTTCAAGGCAATGCTACACCATTTTCCAGGAAAGGCTTCACATCTGTGGATTGTGGTATCTGAAAACCTACACTGCACAGGGAGGCAAGGGAGGGGTGACTACTTTATAGGGAATGGAAGCTTATGAATGATCCAAAGCAATGCATACTCTGAGGTTTAATTCTCAAAAGCTAGTGATGGTAGTAAAAAATCTCTTTATTGAAGAAAACTACCAACTTCCACATTTTAGTCATGTATTTATTAAAGGGATATAATGTAATTTAAGAATATTTACAACCCTGATCTCCTCAACCTAACTCACCTATGTTAACCTCTCTTAATCCCAGTTTATTACTAATATGTGACTTATAGACCTGCAATCAATCTTTTATATGATCAAGTTTGCTCACTTGTCTTTTCAACTAACTTTGCAATAAATTATATCATGACATAGTCTGTGTTCTCCAAACTGATGACAGGTTAGAAAATTAAAGTTTCTTAAATAATTATTTATTCTCACCTTTCCAATAATCTACATGTAAAATTCATGTTTTATAATATGTTTTGCCCTTGAGAAACCAGTCTCTTGAGGAAATTTCAGAGTTGGGGTGACTAAACTAACATGCATGATAAACTCTGTTCCAATGAAGGATTCTAACCCTGGTGTGAACTTTCACTAACAGACAGCAACTGTACATCCTTGTGAGTACAACGTAATGATTTGTGCCTTGTTACCTGTACGTATTTATTGTCTTTGGACACTTAGCTTATTCACCAGCACAAACATTCCTGGTTTCGTTAGGATGAAAACATTCAAATTCCTGCCTTCTAGTTATCTCAGTTGTGTAAAGCAATACTGTTAATGGTAATCACACTGTCCTGTGTGACAAGCCCTGGACCTTCTTGTCTGACTGTGGATTTGAACTTGTGAACCACCCACCCCACAACCTCTCCCTACCTCTGGTGAGCTCTGGTTTAACTATCACTTCTCTTGTTCAGCTTCTCTTCACTCTGTATGAGTGAAATCACTTGCATGAGAAAGCCAGTGAATTTTTTTTCACAAATGTCCCATTTTGAAATATTTAACAATTTAAATTTGTCCAAAGGTATAAACTAACAAAGTAGAGGAAAGAGTGACATTGCCCCATATGTTTAAGTGTGTAGTCCTTGATGAATGAGAGCTAGTCTTTGCACAGACATGGGATGTTTTGCATCTGAGAAATGCTTAGTTACCTCATTTGTCTGTTTCAGGAGATATTATAGTGATTTTCATAATTGTATTGTAGGACTTCTTAGTATATTAAGAGATTGGAATTTTTGGCTCTCTACAGAATTGATGATAATTTCCCCAGTCTTGAATTTACAGTTAGAATCGGTTGTATAGTTGTATATTTCACTTACTCAAATTTTCAATCTTTTTTTTTCAGCTTTAATTGAGTTTATTGGTACATTTTAGACCAATCAAGGTTTGAAATTGAAGAAATACAGAATCTGGAAATTTAAATATCTTGTTCATTCTTTCAGGAGGATTTCATGGAATTGTGACTAATCGTTACCTTTAAAATTATAAAAATTACACCTGCCTCCTGGTAAGGTTCTGATTTATTGTACTCTAAAATAGTATTAATAATGAAATCACAGCAGCTTTTATCTATTTATTGTTGAGTATTAGGTAGGAATATTGCATCATATATAATTTAACTAAAGAAGTAATAAAATGAGCCACTATTGTGTTAATTGTCATCATTACCCAATTACAGAAATTTAAAGTTCAGAGATTAAAATTTTATCAAGAGTAATAGGGGAACAAGGATTTTAAAGCAACAAAAGCAAAACTACTTGGCTGTTGAGATTATTGCTTAAACCATGGTATCATACAGCATACAATGTAGTGTTCAATTCCATCCTGTGATAAGCACTGGCGTCTGCCTCAGGCCCTGGAGTGTGGCCCTGAGGGGAATCTGCTGAGCAGGGCTGGGGGGCAGCGGGACCCGGGCCTCGCTTCTGCTGTCACCGGGTGCAAAGCCTGTGCTGAAATCACCCACTAAGGAGACTCTGATGGGAGTGGGGCGAGGGAAGTAGGAAATGTGAGTTAAAGCACAGAGATCTGAGAGGAGGCAAGAGCCATCATCACAGCTCGGGGAATTTGTTATCATTTGTAGGAGACTCTGAATAAGGTGTGATCTGGACAATAAGGCGTGATAATTGCAGGGAAATGGACCCGGGAGGACAGGGAGCAGGGCGGCCTGACTGGACTCCTGCTGTCCGGCCCTGCCCCACCCCTCCGCGTGCAGACTGAGCTTGGACTGCGTCTGCTCAGGGCCACTGGGCCAGGCCTCAGGGCAGACTGAGGACGGAGCAGCCCCAGCGGCTGACTCCCTAGCTGCCCTTTGTCCGGTCATCAGGACCGGCTCCTGCAGGTCAAGGACGACTCGCGCGGAGACTGAAGCTCCGTTCACCCCAGAGCGCTGCCTTGGTACCGCAGCAGACCTTGAATCTTGTCTACCCGCTGCGAGGCCCGCCGGCTTCTTGGAAAGTGGAATGACTGCCAGCTTTGCCCATGTGCTTTTCCCTTCGAAACTCATTTTAGCTGTACTCACCGGCCCTTGCCACAGCTTGTGAAATAAAATGAAGGCAGAGATCACAACAGAGGTTTTTATGATGCTCCCAGCATGCAGCAACCGTGAAGCCAGCCTCAGAGGAAATGCAAAGTGCACCCGTGTGATTGGGTTAATGAGACTGCATCAAAGCACCGCACACTTTCTCTATTAACTGGACTCACATGTGCCATAGATGAAGTAAACAAGACTTTATTGGAGGTACCTAAATATTGGTATAAAGTATGTGAATACCATTGCTATGTACTATAAAATTGCAAAGTGCACATTCTTCTTATTTTTCCAGACTTTCTGACAATAAAATGCAATTCAATTCTCACTTTGGAAATACGGGTAGCAAATATCTTATTTAGAGAAAGTGTATCTCCTCTTCTGGAAGCCCTGTAATTGGGGAAAAGCAAACAGCAATGTAAGAATTTTTGTCTGAATATACACAGTCACAGCCATAACATTAAATTTGTTTTTCATTGTTTATCTCTGTGACCCCATCATCTCTCCCTTAGTACTGAACATCAATTTCCTGAACTCCATGTAAACAGCCTCCTTCCTGGGCCAGGCTGCAGGGCTGAAGTGCTTCTCTTCTGCTGCCCTAGGAGGAAGTTTCTAGAATATTCTGGAAGCCTCTGTGCCCCACCCCCTGCACAGTGGCTGTCTGTGGTCCTCAAAGCAGGTGGGGAACACAGGGGCATTAGGACCCTACTTGCAAAGTTTGCCTTACTCGGACAGCATGGGACATTTTTGGAGTCATGCTATCTCTGTTTTAAAAATCTATCCTTAGCCTATAATTTCAGCCACCATAGGGCAAGTTGCCAATGGGCTCCTGAGGAAAAGGACAGCAGGGCTGATAGCCCAACGGAAGTGTGGGTTCCATTCCTCCATTCTGCAGGGCTTGCTGTCAGCTGCTGTTCACAAAGAGCCACCTCTTGAGGTAAGGAGCCACAGTCCCAGACTAGTAGCTCTCAGAGGAGATTTGTGTTGGGGAAAGATGGTATAGGATCATGATGTGGGATAATCTTGAATTTTTTTCCTATAAAGCAAATTAAGTTGCTTTAAACCTAAGTGAGAAAGGATTAACATTTTTTAAAGAGCCTTAAAGAATTATTTCAGTGTCTGTAACTCCAGAACATCTTGTTAAACTCTAGTTCTTATTATTACATGTTTCAGGACATAGCCGTGATCATGGGTAACCATTGGGACAGGTGCAGGCACATCCCTTAATTCTTGTTTTCCATCCCTCACTCTCTCCTCCCTCTCTGCTCTAACTCTTGATCCGCTTCCCTTTGCAAAAGCTGTCCTTCCATCATTCTCCTTCTCTTTAATAGCATTTTTCCTCTCCCCTCTCTCTCCTCTCTCTCTATTGTTCTCTCATTCATTAGAAAAAGATCTCCTGTTTGATTATGTAAATGGGTATTTAGAAACATGGTTCATAAGTTGTAAGTATTTTGATTTTGACCACGGCATGTTCAGCTCTTTGGAACATAACTAGAAGAGACTGTAGCAGTGTCATTCCTCTGTCTCCTGTTGGTGACAAACGACCCTAGGCTGGGGACTGGGTGTGGATGGGAGGATGATTTCGCCCACAGATGTGGAGGCTGAAGACGTCAAATGAGGTGGCCCCAGGCAGCTGAGCCCTGGTCCCTTGAGCTACATCACAGTGTGGCAGGGCACTGAATGAGGGGAAGATCCGCGACACACTGTGTCAGTAGGGACAGGAAGCCAGGGTGCTGCAGGAGTCCCTGGATCTTCTTACTAACGAAACTCTCCCTTATGGGAACTAACTTGGTCCTTGAGACCAGCATTTACCCCTCCTGAGGGTGCAACTTCCCCACCCAGAAGCTCAGCCTGACACCCTCTCACTGAGGACCAAGCGTGAGCCGCAGGGTCACCACCCATGCTACAGCAATGAGTCTTGTTACAGTAAGAACTGCATCAAGCTGGAGTATACAAATATACCTCAGGGCTTCTCTGTTCTCGCTGTGCAGTTTTTGTGTATACTGAATCATAAAATACTTCTGTTTCTTTGTTATTTTACCCAAATAGTAAACAAAATAAATAGCATAAAACATATAAATTATCTTGTAAAACTATGAATTTTAAAATATAAAAATATGAATTGTCTTGTAAATTATCCCCCAATTTCCAGATATCTGTGGTGATGCAAAATTTATCTACATTCTGAATGATAATGATGCTGAGGAGGAAACCAAAGGATTCATACTGGGTAATCTAAAGTAACCTTCACAACATTAAAAGCAAACTGCTTTTAGGGTAATATTTTGATTGGGAAAAGACTTCCTCATTCGTTTATTTATTAGCAAATATCCATGCATCAGTGATGTCCCCATCATTTTGCTTAACCTAGAAGGAAAACACACCAGCACATATATGATCCCTGATTACTGCAGGCCTATGATATGCATGGGAAATCATGTGCTATGCACTCCACAGCACTGGATGACAAACATGTGGAGCATAAAAGAGATACACTAGCAAGAAAAAGAATGCATCTCTTTGACAGGCATAGAAATGTGAGGAAAATTGCCCCTGCGTCTCTGTTTCTGACTGTGTTATCCAATATTAAATAGAGGAATATAGGAGGAAAATATAAATTCTACACCTCAGAAATTATCTTGAGAACAGGGAAGAAACTGCTTTCCTGAAAAGATATCCTACAATTTGAGTTTAAAGAAAAAAAAATTAAGAGGGCTAAAAAAATGATCAGGGCTTATTTGCTTGTGCACATACGGGTAGTTACATTATATTTTGATGGTGAATTACTGAACCTTATAAAGAACAAACTTCTTTATTTTGCTTAATATAGTCATATCAATAAATTAATGATAATACAGAGATTTTACAGTCCTGCTGCCTCCCATACAAAGATTTTTAAAAAGAGTCTCGTCTCATTGAGGTATAATCTGTACATACACCAATATATGAAAGATATTTAATTGGTATTTTATGAAATAAACAGTTGGTAGTTAAGTCATCCTCCGTCTTCTCTGCCCAGTCAATGGATGCTGTATGACCACCCTCACCTTTGAAATGCCCTGGCTGGCAGGGTGAAATGAGTTAACCCACCCTCTGCAGTGAGCTTTCCTGTCTGGTGCTGTATTTTATAAGTGCAAAAGAGAAACCTCCATCACTGGCATATTTACTTCAGTAAATGTTAGCACACAGCCTTTCACAAATCACCAAGAAGGATTCACTTTTCCAAATGAATGTTGGCTTCTATAATGGCTCAGTATTCCAATTTTTAAAACAGATTGGTTTTTCCAAAAAATTTTGTTTCGATATGTTGTAAGTAGTAGGAGTGAGAATATTTGTTAGAATCCCAGCGTTGAGGAGACAATCATAAAATAAATGTATCATGTTTTAGCATCATGCAAATGCTTTCAAACCATCTACATGTTGTTCAACACCCTAGAAAAAATATCAGCTACCATGACATATTGATGAAATGAAGCCACCACATGCCCTTGAGAATGGTTGTATTTTGAGAAGACAGTTGGCTGCTCAAAGAAAAACTTATCCCATATTAAAAGTTTAATCGGCAGTATAGGAGGGTATATTACATGGAAGATTTCAAAATCCTAAGAATTGAATCAATATTTGGATGTAACAGTTAAGAGTTCTAAAAAGAAAAAGATATAACTTTGCAGGGTATTTTTAGCAACAGATACCAGATAGCCTTATTTTAAAAATGCATAGATTTATAAAATCTGCATTATAAACAAAACTGAAACTGGGTTTCATGCTCAGACTTTGTTTCTTTGGGAGAGGATTTATGCTTGGAAAGATCAAGAGCTCTTGCAAAAAAATCCCATATATATATCCAGAGAAACAGACAGAGTGATAAACAATAAATAATTTCTACTCTGAGACTCAGCCTCCATCTGCCACAGGGAGCTGCAGGCAGTGCTGGCCTTCAGCAGAGGGCAGGGCTGGCCAAGGTCCGTGTCCCCCACCCCTTCATCTGGGGGTTTTGTGTGCTTCCTACAGCATTACCAGCCCAGACACTGCCCCCGCCAAGCAGAGACCCCCATGCTCTGAGATGCTCTCTGGGCCTGACCTTCTGGCTGTACCTTGGAAACCCCCTGCAAGTGCCTGTGCACTCTTCTCAGGAGGGTGTGCCTTTGGCAGCACTGGCCTGCAGCTCTAGAGGGCCCTGCGTAGTGAATATCAGCAGTGCATTCAGGGAACATAAAGGAGGAAAGGCACAGAATACTGCTGTGATCTGACTGGGCCCTGGTCTGAATGCTAAGAGAAGCCAGCAGAATGGATGGACACCCCCTGGCTTCCTTTCAGGTGAAAGCTTCCTTCCCTTCTCCACTCAGAAGATGCCTGTATTCAGCATAACCACTCCCATGTTGTGCAGTGCCCTCTTCGCCTTGGCAGCCCCCTGTGTCTGCAGCAGGCAAATTTCACAACCTTCTCCCCCCAGCAGTTCTCAAGTGAGTTTTGGAAACTAAATTAGGTCAAATAAACTTGAGCCACTTTCTTCATTGCAGAGATTGCCACAGAATTCCTTAGAGTAAAGCACTATGCCAAGGAAAAGTGTGAGAATATTTCCAACTTCTTTATATGCGGTGCCCGCTTCCTCTGTATGTGTGCCTGTGTGTACACATGTGCATATTGCTCCCATTAAAATACATGAGGGATTATTTTATGTGAGACAGGAAGCTGCCCTCCAAGATGCAGCTAGACCAGGATAGGTTAAAGTTCTTTTTCTGACCTTTTTACTTCTGCACTGCCTCTGAATTTGCTGACCCTTCTGATGATGGCAGGCATGGAGAACACTTTGCTGTAAGCATGTCCCTGACAGTAGAGCCTCAGGTGGACCTGCAACCAAATGATGATCTTCAAGTGAGGATTGGGTAGAACTCAGTAGTATTGAAAGCCAGAGACTCACAAAAGAATCACAGAGGAGCCCTGAAGACAAACATCCCGGCATTGCAAAAAGAATCCATGTGTGTTGAGCTGTCTTTCTCGATAAAGCTGCCTCTCATAGTAGAATGTGGTTGTCATGGAGATGGACCAACGGGGAATACAGTGATCTGGATGCAGATGATCCCATGAGTGGGTTGAGTTTGCAACAACAGGTTGGTAGTGTGGGAGACACAAATAAGAGAATCTTCCACACTAATGTGTGTGCAGCTGTGTGTGTCTTCACCCCTCTCCTCAGGCCTCCAAGAAGGTAATGATTAGAAAGCCACACCCCCAAAGTGACAGTACATGATGAGTTTCAGGAAGTGTGACACAGGCAGAGGGAACAGTTTG